CGAACATGCTGTACACGTTTGTAGCCTAGGGAGCAATAGGCTATATCATATGGCCTAAGTGTGTAGTGGGCTATACCATCTAGGTTTGTGTACGTACACTCTGATGTTTGTACAATGACAAAATCACCCAATGACACATTTCTCATAACTTATCCCCATTATTAAGCAATACAGGACTGTACTTAAATGTTGATGACTCCCAATCTATATCTCTAGATGTCAGAAGACATCTTTCTTGAGCTTCAGTAGCAAATTTCCAACTACCAGATGATTATCTGTACATCAACGCTACCTAAAGATTCATACCCTTTAGAAATCTAAAACTTCCTCTCTAATCATTTCATATACACGTAAATCTCTGAAATACTGCCTATCTCTGAGTTCAGTTCATTCATAAAAAGAATGGCTTCTCTTATAACACTATGTGAATCCTCTCGCTACTAGCCATTTAGTCTGTAGGACATTTTCCCCTAATATTTAGCCAATGCAGCAATGTGATACTAATCTTCAATGTTCCCTTTAGTCTCAGTCAGACTCACCTTGTAGCAGTCATTAGCAATGAGCTGTAAGAGACTGAAGGACTCGCCAGAGGTTTCCATCTTAAGATAAAGTTCCCAGGCTAGTCTTGGTTTCTTATTCATAATATCTGCAAAAGGAATCAAAGATTTGTAAACAAATGAGTCATTTTTACATGTACAAAAAATAATTTCTGCACCTTATTATTCTATGGATTTGGTTCCATATTCCAAATAAAGTAGTGGAAAGCTTTCATGGAAAGCTTGCAGTGTTGGTATTCAGCTGGCTCCCTGCCAGAATTCTACCATACTTAAAATATTTAAGTTAGGAGTCACATAATTATGTCTTTCAGATCGGATTGACTTCTGGTAGTTCCTACTTTGCTCATATGCTTAAAAGAGGATAACTATCATTCATTCAATCCTACTCATAGTTTCAATCTCACTTAGAAGATATGATTGCTAAATTTTCCTCTGACTACAAAAACTCAGTGAACATTTTACTTAATTTTGTTTTTTTATTGAGACAGAGTCTTGCTCTGTCACCCAGGCTGGAGTGCAGTGGTGTGATCTTGGCTCACTGCAACCTCTGCCTCCCAGGTTAAGTGATTCTCGTGCCTCAGCCTCCCCAGTAGCTGGGATTACAGGTGTGTGCCACCATACCCAGTTAATTTTAGTACTTTTAGTAGAGCTGAGGTTTTGCCATGTTGGCCAGGCTGGTCTTGAACTCCTGACCTCAAGTGATTCGCCTGCCTCACGCTCCCAAAGTGCTGGGATTACAGGTGTGAGCAACTGTGCCTGGCAAACATTTTAAATCTTGAGTTTTAAAAAGGAGCAAGAAAAGATAGTGAGTGAGAGAGAGAAAGAGACAGAAAGTAAAGTTCTATATCAAACAATTACATTTTTGACATTTTGCCACTTTTCAGACTTGACCCATAGTGAAAAGTTAAAATTAGTGTAACAACATCATTTCACAAACAACACTATAAGCTGAGACTCTGGAAACTGTAATGAGACTTTAGAAAGAACTTGACATTTTTCAGGCTATAAGTACTAGGTCAATGCTATATGGTAGAACTAATCACAGGGTAAACTTGCATGACACATTTACATGGCAACACTTACTGAGTTGCATTAACAACCCTTAATTTCAGTGTTTACTCATTCTCAGAACAAAATGCAAAATCAAATTAGAAAACATTCCATGCCATTTCCGAACAGATTATGTAACCAAAAAGAAAAAGAGGATTCTTCTTGTAACATTTAAAAGAAGACTCACAGCACCGAGCTAACCAGCTGAGGTAAATGTAATCATTTTTCATCTTCTCACTTTGGATCAAGAGGAATGCCTGCAAGAAGAGGAAAGAAAGGGAATACTGCTGAGGATGGTTTTGCAACAAAAATACCCATTATTGGCTTGCCTTAGATTGATAATCACTGCAGCATTATAGATGACCAAATTCTAGGCAGGCTGCTAAGAAAAGTAAGGGACAAAATTGTGGTGATTTTAAAATATTGGCCGGGTGCAGTGGCTCACGCCTGTAATCCCAGCACTTTGGGAGGCCAAGGTGGGCAGATCACGAGGTCAGGAGATCAAGACCATCCTGGCTAACATAGTGAAACCCCGTCTCTACTAAAAATACAAAAAATTAGCCAGGTGTGGTGGTGGGCGCCTGTAGTCCCAGCTACTTGGGAGGCTGAGGCAGGAGAATGGTATGAACCCGGGAGGTGGAGCTTGGAGTGAGCCAAGATCACGCCACTGCACTCCATCCTGGGCGACAGAGCAAGATTCTATCTCAAAAAAAAATAAAAATAAATAAAAATAAAAATATTACACCAGAAATTGATACTACAAGCTGACAAAAGTTGGTAAGGATATAGAAGATTCAAACAGAATAATTAACAACTGTATGATACATATTCTTTTTAAGCACATATGACCATGCTACACACAGGTCAGTAAGGCAAACCTCAACAAATGGCACATGCCACCATACTCAGCTATTTAAAAAAATTTTTTGTAGAGATGGTATCTCACTATATTGCCTAGGCTGGTCTCGAACTCCTGGGCTCAAGTGATCTTCCGACTTTTCAGCCTTCTGAAATGTTGGGATTATAGGTGTGAACCAGCTCGCCCAGCCCAGACCACATTCTATGACCACAAAAATACAATTAAGTTAGAAATCAAATAAGTAAAGAAACATATTGATAGTCATCAAGCTGTATACTTATGATTTGTATACTTTTCTGTACATATGTTATATTTCTATAAAATTTGCTAAAAAGGGAAAATTTTAATATGGTTATAAAATCTATGTCTATTCACATTGTACCTTTTTTTTTTTTTTTTTTTTAAGAGACAGGGTCTCACTATGTTGCCCAGGCTGGAGTGCAGTGGCTATTCACAGGTATGATCATAGTGCACTGCAGCTTAAAACTTCCAGGCTCAAGCCACTGTCCTGCCTCAGCCTCCCAAGCAGCTGGGAATACAGGTGTGTGTCTCTGCACCTTCTCCACAGTGTACTTTTTAATGCATCCTAAGAACAGAGGAATCTTTAATAATCCTTAACCCTTGACCATTTTATTCCAGTGAGAAAAAGATAAGGATGTCTTTAGACAGAATCATTCAAATGCTTTCAAAGGCAGGTACCCACCTCTTCACCCTCACTGGTATTGCCTGTTGCAGCTTTGGCTTGGGCATAATTAAAGTTAAAGATGTCATCATTATAGAAGTAACTCTGAAAAACATCCCAAGAACAGGTCACATTGAGAATGAACATACAAAATATAAAACCATCAGTTATACCAGATAAACACAAAACTAAGCTTAAGGATTAGTTGATGCCACTAATGCCACCATAGAAAATGGGCCATCTCTAAAGATATCTTATCTTCTCTGATACATTCTACAGTATTTTGTATATAAAATCTTGTAGGTAATTCTATACTGACCTTAAATGAGTTGAGGTAAATCAAGACATCATCAAATTGCTTAAGCAGGAAGAAACAGGAAGCCATGCACTGCCTCCCTGGTATTGTATCTGAAATGGAGGGGGAAAAAAACCCACATATATTCATGAAACTAAAATCCTCTGTAGCTGAAGTTTGAGTTATTTAATAATTTAGAGACAGGAAAATATTCCAAAATATCTTTCTAGATCCTGAAATTATATATTTTGTTCAGTGGACAAAACCCCAATATAATGGAGGTCACAGTCCTTGAGAGTGACCAATAATCTCTCTGGGGATTAACTCCCAGAGTCCAAAATGAACACACGCCCTGCAGGTTCACTAACTACATTAACCAGGTCATTTTCCAAGGCTTTGATTCTCTCATCCAACATGTGCATATTCAATTAGTGTGGCCTGGTTTCCATCATCACTTTTCTAAATCAACCTAGCACTTCCAATCTCAAATGGAAAAATAATTTGCCATGGAACCATCTGATTCTAATCCTGATCCAACTTTTTGCCTGATATCAGATTCCTATTTGAGTAGTGGAGGATTAGTGTAACTCCCACGCTTGCCACAGGCATTCCTAAAGCTCCTTATCCTGTTTCGTTTTTTTCCTTTAACATTTATCACAGTCTGATATACTATGTACATCTGATATATATATATATACACACACATGATATATCTAATCAGATATACATATAAAATTTAAAACCATCAGTTATACCAGATAAACACAAAACTAATCTTAAGGATTAGTTGATGCCACTAATGCCACCACAGAAAATGGTGGCATTTTGTGGTGTATCTGATGAGATGTACATACATATAGTGTGTGTATATATACATATCTGATATACATAGTATATCAGACTGTGATAAGTGATAAAGGAAAAAAATTAAACAGAATAAGGAGCCTTAGGAATGCCTGTGGCAAGAGTGGGAGTTATACTACTCCTCCACCACTCAAATAGTAATCTGATATCAGGCAAACAGTTGGATCAGGATCAGAATATACATATCAGATATACATACGTAGTATAAATATATGTATACACACACATATAAAAATATGTACACACACACACTATATATATACTATATATTATTTCTTTTCTTTTCTTTTTGAGACAGAGTGTTGCTGTGTTGCCCAGGGTGAAGTACAGTGGTGTGATCTTGGCTCATTGCAACCTGCGCCCTGGGTTAAAGCGATTCTCTTGCCTCAGCCTCCTGAGTAGTTGGGATTACAGGCACGCACCACACTTGGCTAATTTTTGTATTTTTAGTAGAGATGGGGTTCCACCATGTTGGCCAGACTGGTCTCGATCTCCTGACCTCGTGATACGCCTGTCTCGGCCTCCCAGAGTGCTGGGATTACAGGCATGAACCACAGCGCCCGGCCACTATATATTGTTTCTAGTCCATCTGCCCTACTAGACTTAAGTTCCACAATGGTTGGGAGTTTTGTTTGTTTACTGCTGTATCCTCAACAGCTCAATAAATTTTTATTGTATGAATGAATGAATGAAATGGGGAAAATAGTACGCAATAACTGGTATTGGTGAAACATTTGTGAATGTCCAGGAGTGATAAAAATATTTAATATAATTTTCAGTTCAGCATGAACACTGTTACTCAGAATAGATGCCAGACATAGACAACCAGTACAGGCAGCACCATATTGGTTCATGCTGGCTAGCTAGCATCTCTTTTTATACCCCTTTCTCAAATCTTTCACTGAATCTTGGCTGATGAAATACTTTAATCACAAAAATGAAGTTTTAAGACTACTAGTGGGCAATATAGGTGACTATTATATAACTGTGGCAGAAAGAAAGCATTTTCTAAGCTTAATACCCATGCAAGTAATCACTATAGAAAAGAAAAACTTAATTAAAAATGGTTTTAATATTTTTTATTAATCTACTTTATTTGTTTTAAATTTTTGTGGGTATGTAGTCCATATATCCATACTGCATATGGACATCCAGTATATTTTGATACAGGCATACAATGCATAATAATCACATCAGGGTAAATGGGGTATCCATCACATCAAGTATTTATTCCTTCTTTGTGTTACAAACAATCCAATTATACTTTTCTAGTTATTTTGAAATGTATAATAAATTATATTGTTAACTGTAGTCACTCTGTTGTGCTATCAAATACTAGATCCTATTAATTCTATTTTTTTTTTTTGTAGCCATCCTCACTGTCCTCCCACTCCACTACCCTTCCCAGGCTCTGCTAACCATCACTCTACTCTCTATCTCCAAGAGTTCAAGTGTTTTAATATTTTTTAGCTCCCACAAATAAGTGAAAAGTGTGTCTTTCTGTGCCTGGCTTATTTCACTCAACATAATGTCCTCCAATTCCATCCATGCTGTTGCAAATGACAGGATCTCAACTCATTCATCTCATCTCATCCTTTTTATGGCTGAATAGTAAGTATTCCACTGTGTATATGTACCACATTTTCTTTATTCCTTCATCTGTTGATGGATGCTTAGGGTGCTTCCAAATTTCTGCTATTTTGAATTGTGCAGCAATAAACATTGTTGCGCAAATATCTCTTTGATACGCTGATTTCCTTTCTTTTGGGTATTTATCTAGCAGTGAGATTTCTGTATCATATGGTCATCCTATTTTTGGTGTTTTGAGGAACTTCCAAACTGTTCTCCACAGTGGGTGTGCTAATTTACATTCCCACCAACAGTGATGCATTTCTCTGATGATCAGTGATGTCGAACACCTTTTCATACATCCATTTGTCATTTGTATGTCTTTTCTTTCTTTTGAGACGGGGTTCCACTCTTGTTGCCCAGACTGGAGTGCAATGGCGTGACCTCGGCTTACTGCAACCTCTGCCTCCTGGGTTCCAGTGATTCCTCTGCCTCAGTCTCCTGAGTAGCTGGGATTACGGGCGCCACCACCATGTCCAGCTAATTTTTTGTATTTTTAGTAGAGACGGGGTTTCACCACGTTGGCCAGGCTAGTCTTAAATTCCTGACATCAGGTGATCCACCGGCCTCAGCCTCCCAAAGTGCTGGGATTACAGGCGTGAGCCACGGCACCCAGCCTTGTATGTCTCCTTTTAAGAAATGTCTGTTCAGAGTTTTTGCCCATTTTCAAATTGGATTGTTAGATTTTTTTCCTATTGAGTTGTCTGGGCTCCTTCTATATTCTGATTATTAATCCCTTGTCAGATGGCAAATATTTTCTCCATTCTGTGGATTGTCACTTCACTTTGTTGATTGTTTCCTTTGCTGTGAAGAAGCTTTTTTGACTTGATGTGACCCCATTTGTCCATTTTTGCTTTGGCTGCCTGTGTTTGTGTGGTATTACTCAAGAAATCTTTGGGCCAGGTCACTCACAAATGGTTGGGAACCTCATGTGTGCTCTGTTGTTACTGTTTGCATCCCCTGAAGCCAACGTGGGCAGCCAGTGGAGGAGGCCTCTGGACTGGGGTTTCTGTCTTTGTGTTAAATCTCTCCTCCAGTGTGGCCCAGTGCCAGGTGGGCTCCCGTGGGAAGCCCTGCTGTCAGAACCAGATTGTTATTGTTGGGAAAGACAAAAAAGGCAGAAAGATCCCAGAATATCTGATCTATTTTAATGGCTGGAACAGAAGCTGGGATCAATGGGCGGCCGAAGATCATGTGCTTCATGATACCGAAGAAAATCGTAGAATACAGCATAAATTGGCAAGAAAAGCTGTAGCTCGCCTGAGGAGCACAGGAAGAAAGAAGTGCTGCAGGTTGCCTGGTGTTGATTCTGCTTAAAAGCCTCCTCATTGACGAAAAAGACGAAAATGATGAAAACTCATTAAGCAGTTCCTCTGACAGCAGCAAAGTGTGAAGAAATAAGTGAAGAAAGTGATACTGAAGAAAAGACTGAAGTGAAAGAAGAACCAGAGCTTCAAACAAAAAGAGAAATGGAAGAAACAACAGTAACTACAGAAATTCCTGAAGTTCTGAAGTAGCAGGAGGATGATTATTATTACATTAACAGAAGGAAATGGTTAGTGAAACTTTCATGCCAGACCAACATCATAATGATCTTGGAAGCATTTTGCTCTCAATGCAGCCTTTTCAGCCAATGAGAGGCCTCGTCACCATCATGCTATGCCACATGCCAGTAGGAACGTGCATTATATCCCAGAAGAAAAGAATGTTGACCTTTGTAAGGACATGGTGGATGGATTAAGAATAACCTTTGATTACACTCTACTGTTGGTTTTACTCTATCCTTATGAACAAGCTCAGTATAAAAAGGTGACTTTGCCAGGTGCGGTGGCTTACGCCTGTAATCTCAACACTTTGGGAGGCCGAGGTGAATAGATCACCTGAGGCCAAGAGTCGGAAACCAGCCTGGCCAACATGGCGAAACCCCACCTCTACCAAAAATACAAAAATTAGCCGGGGATGGTGGCAGGAGCCTGAAATCCCCAGCTACTCAGGAAGCTGAGGCATGAGAATCGCTTGAACCCAGGAGGCAGAGGTTGCAGTGAGCCAAGATCACACCACCGCACTCTAGCCTGGGTGACAAGAGCGAGACTCCATCTCAAAAAACACAAAAAAACAAAAACAAAAACAAAAAAAGGTGACTTCATCCATGTTTTTTTTTCTAATTAAGGAAATTGCCACAAACCCTAATACGATCCAGGAGGAACTCTCTCCCAGCCTGTCTTTGTTGAATTCATCCATGCCACAGTCCACAGAGAGTCAGCCAACCATTAGTGAACCAGACACCCCCAAAAGGCACAAAGCTGAGTTGGAAGCATTGCAGTCTCCGAGGCGGTCTATGAGCCACACCACCAACTGTGACAGACTTTCTGACAGCAGCACCTCACCTCAGCCCAAGGGCCAGCAGCAGCACACATCCGCCAGCATACCCAAGCTGTTTCTGCACCTGGAAAAGAAGACACCTGTGCACAGCAGATCGTCTTCACCTATTCCTCGGACTCCTAGCAAGGAAGGAAGTGCAGTGTTCGCTGGCTTTGAAAGGAGAAAAACTAATGAAATGAACGAGGTCCTATCCTAGAAGCTTATGCCTGATAATTACCCACCAGGTGACCAGTCGCTTCCACCTGTTACATTTACGGGGCATAACATTTGCTGCAATTGTTTGTAAAACTTCCAGAAATTCTTGGAAAGATGTCCTTTTCTGAGAAAAATCTGAAGGCTTTATTGAAGCACTTTGATCTCTATTTGAGGTTTTTTAGCAGAATACTGTGATTACTTTTTCCTAGAGTCAGCTTATGTCACTTCCTGTGAGGTGCATTACACAGCAAGAATCTCCGGGCTATTTATTACAATGTTGATGGTTCTGTAAGAACAACTCCTCTGTCTAGCTTGGTGCTCTGGGTTCCAGATGAACAACTATCAAGGTGGTGGGTCTTTACCCAGAGCACAAACACAATGCCCACGTGAGGGCTCTGACAGAGGTGGGCCCTGTTGTTTGAGATGCCCACATACTGTAGTTATTCTGTTAGGAATTGTTTCCTGGGTGCCTATAGTGCTCTGACACAACACTTGCTACTGTGTAGGCCATCTGTGATAGCAGGAAAAAAGCAACTGGGTTCACAGTGAAATGTTTGTGGAAGCATACATAGGTTAGGCTATTTCAATAGACATTGCAGTTCATTAGCGAAAACCACATTATTTTGTTATTTGCTAGCATTAAATAAAATTTTTTTTGCAAATTGGTTTCATTCTTTTGATGAAGCTGGGCAACTCTGTCCAACAAGGTTTAGTTTGTACTTGGAAACCACAAAGTAGTCTCAAAGTGTGTTAGAGGAACTCGATATTGATGGCAAAAGAAAATTTGCAGCTATACATTTGCTTCTAACAGTTCCCTCTCTGTGAAACATTATTTTTGGTGATCTAAAGAAAGCATTGCCTTTCTTGTTTGAGATTTTACAGCTATACTTTGCTGTGTAATGTTATGGTTACCTGTCTGTAAAATGTTAGTTTTAGTGATCTAAATAAAGCCTATCTTGTTTGAAAGAAAACAAAAACAAAAACAACACAAAAAGAAGTCTTCGCCCACACCAATGTCCTGGAGAGTTTCCCCAATGTTTTCTTGTAGAATTTTCCTTATTTGAGGTCTTAGATTTCAGTCTTTAATCCATTTTGATTTGATTTTTGTATAGGGTGAGAGATGGGAGTCTAGTTTCATTCTTCTGCATATAGAACTCCAGTTTTCCCAGCACAATTTATTGAAGAGACTGTCCTTTCCCCAGAGGTTCTTGGCACCTTTGTCAAAAATGAGTTCACTGTAAATGTATGGATTATTTCTGGGTTCTCTTAATGTGCTCCATTGGTCTATGTGTCTGTGTTTATGCTAGTATCATGCTGTTTTGGTTACTATAGCTCTGAGGTATAATTAGAAGTCAGGTACAGTGATTCCTCCAGTTTTGTTTTCTGCTCAGGACAGCTTTGGCTATTCTGTTCTTTTGTGGTTCTGTATAAATTTTAGGATTGTTTTTTCTATTTTTATGAAGAATATCACTGGTATTTTCATAGGGATTGCATCGAATTTGTAGATTGCTTTGGGTAGTATGAACATTTTAACAATATTGATTCTTCTAATCTATGAACATGGAATATCTTTCCTTTTTTGTGTGTCCTCTTCAACTTCTTTTTTTTTTTTTTTTGAGACGGAGTCTCGCTTTGTTGCCCAGGCTGGAGTGCAGTGGCGTGATCTCGGCTCACTGTAAGCTCCGCCTCCTGGGTTCACGCCATTCTCCTGCCTCAGCCTCCGAGTAGCTGGGACTACAGGTGCGCACCACCATGCCTGGCTAATTTTTTGTATTTTTAGTAGCGACGGGGGTTTCACTGTGTTAGCCAGGATGGTCTCGATCTCCTGACCTCGTGATCTGCCCACCTCGGCCTCCCAAAGTGCTGGGATTACAGGCGTAAGCCACCATGCCCAGCCTCTTCAACTTCTTGCATCAATGTTTTATAGCTTTTATTGTAGAGATATTTCACTACTTTGGTTAATTCCTAAGTATTTAATTTTATTGGTAGCTATTATAAATGGGATTACTTTTTTGATTTTCACAGTGTTTGCTGTTGGCATGTAGAAATGTCACTGATTTTTGTTTGTTGGTTTTGTATCCTGCAATTTTACTGCATTTGCTTATGAGTTCTAATAGTTTTTTGGTGGAGTCTTTAGGTTTTTCCAAATATAAGATCATATCATCTGCAAACAAGGATAATTTAACTTCTTCCTTTTCAATTCAGATGTCCTTTATTTCTTTATCTTGTCTGATTACTAGCTAGGACTTCCAGTACTATGTTGAATAACAGTGGTGAAAGTGGGCATCCTTGTCTTGTTCCAGATCTTAGAGGAAAGGCTTTCCACTTTCCCCATTCAATATGATACTAGCAGTGGGTCTGTCATATGTGGATTTTATTGCTTTGAGGTATGTTCCATCTATACTCAGTTGTTTTTGGGGGGGGTTTATCATAAAGGGATGTTGAATTTAATCAAATGCTTTTTCAGCATCAATTGAAATGATCATATGGTTTTTGCCCTTCATTCTGCTGCTATGATGTACCCCTTGATTTGCATATGTTGAACCATTCTTGCATTCCTGGAATAAATCTCAGTTGGTCACGATGAATGATATGTTGTTGAATTCTGTTTGCTAATATTTCGTTGACAATTTTTTCATCCGTCTTCATTTGAGATATTGGACTTTAGTTTTCTTTTTTTGATGTGTCTTTGGTTTTGTTATCAGGGAAATACTGGTCTTAATGTGTTTGGAAATATTCCCTCCTCCTTTCTTTTTTGGAATAGTTTGAGTAGGATTGGTATTAATTTTTCTTTAAATGTTTGGTAGAATTCTACAGTGAAGCCAACGGGTCATGGGCTTTTCTTTACTGGGAATCTTGTTATTATGGCTTCGATCTCATTACTTGTCACTGGTTTGCTCAGGTTTTGGATTTCTTTATGGTTCAATCTTGGTTGGTTGTATGTGTCTAGGAATTTATCCATTTCTTCCAGGTTTTCCAATTTATTGGCATATCATTGCTCATAGGAGCCTCTGGTGATTCTTTGAATTTCTGTAGTATTGGTTGTATGGTGTATACATATTTGAGATGGGGGTCTCACTCTGTTGCCCGGGCTGGAATGCAGTGGTGTAATCATGGCTCACTGCAGCCTCAACTTCCTGGGCTCAGGCAATCCTGACACCTCAGCCTCTCAAGTAGCTGGGGCCGTAGGTATGTGCCACCACACCTGGCTAATTTTTTAATTGTGATTTGTAGAGATGAGGTCTTCCTATGTTGCCCAGGCTGGTCCTGAACTCCTGGGCTCAAGCCATCTGCCAGCCTCAGCCTCCCAAAGTGCTGGGATTACAAACCTGAGCCAGCATGACTGGCTGGTTTTAATATTTTTATATGGAAAAAAATATCATAGGCAAAGTTTAAAGGCAAATGACCTACCAGAATGTGACAAAAGTTAATGCTCAAAAGAGCTCTTGAAAACTCAGTAAAAAATAACATCTTATATCTAAAACTGATTCAAAGTTTTAAAACTCTCAGGAACAAAACAGCACATTTACTCTCCTTTATTTATTCTCCGATCCCACTTTCGCTGAGACGTTGAGAAGAACCAATTCCAATATTCTTTCTTATTTCTGACCTCCCACTTTATAATGTGAAGCCTAATAGATACATCCCTAGAGAGAGAATCAAACTTCACAGTCAATATATGCCCCATTCCAATTATAAAGCGGATCGTAAGTCCAGATTTCAGACATACCACATTCACTAGCTGATCCTCCCACCAACTGGAAGAACTGCTGGGCAATTTTCATATGATCCCTCTGAAAAACAAACTGAGCTGATATAGAGGAATAAGGTAAAAATATTTTTATCATACTTTATGGTTCTAACACATTTGTCAGGATTTAACATATACTCTTGTTTTAAATATTGCCCCAAACAATGCTAATTCTCATTAACATAACAACTAGACCCGAAACTGAATTAAAACCTGTGCAGGGACGGGAAGAAAAGAAGAAAAATAACCAAATCCTTAAATTCTATCCTAAAACTTCATTAAATGAACTCAATCATTCTACAAATATCTATTGTTCTTTTACCATATATCAGACCTTGGAACAGGAGCTATAGATATAACAAGCAGTATTTATTAAACTCATTTATTTAATAAATATTTGCTGCCTATCTATTATACAAGGCACTGCAGAATGCACTTGAGATAAAAAGATTTATTCATATCCCAGTTTGTTCCAAAAAGAACAAAGAATGCTACATTAAGATGGATAAGAGCAATTTTAGACAGTGTTTTGGTGTTTATAAAACTAACTTCTCCAGAGAAATAATTTTCCTCACTTTACAGATGTCAAAATTACAGATATACGGAAGTTAAAAAAAAGTCCCTGCAAATAAGAATGAAGTTGCACAATGATTTTTAAGTTTATTAAATAACTTGCTATTTAAAAATTGGACCCTTTTAAGAAAGCAGGAGTCTTTAGGGTTATAAGTTTTTTTTTTTTTGTCTCTAAATAACACAACATTCTTTTCACAATGGAGTCTGGATTGGGGGATATGGAGAAGTAAAAGGAGCTACAGGAGAGCCTATTGCTGCTTGTACTTTGATAGTCATTTTGTTCTCTTCCACACACCTATAACTTTGCAACCTACAGATTATCAGTGATTTCTTCTTCTTCTTATTATTATTACACTTTAAGTTCTAGGGTACATGTGCATAACGTGCAGGTCTGTTACATATGTATACTTGTGCCATGTTGGTGTGCTGCACCCATCAACTCGTCAGCACCCATCAACTCATCATTTACATCAGGTATAACTCCCAATGCAACCCTCCCCCTTCCCCCCTCCCCATGATAGGCCCCGGTGTGTGATGTTCCCCTTCCCGAGTCCAAGTGATCTCATTGTTCAGTTCCCACCTATCAGTGATTTCATACTCACTGAACCCATTTCCTGGCCAAGGGCTGCATTGACCACTCCTTTGAGAATATACTCCTAGAAATATGGAATAACACTGATTAAGATGAATGTGGAGCTATGAGATTATTTTCAAATTAACTCCTTGCATTAACTCAATATTTTATATAAATTATCAAAGATTACCTATAGTTACTTTTCTCTGTTCTATCCCTGGCTTGAATGAAAGAATTAGGAGTCACTCATTTAGTTTCCAGCAGCCAAGAATCTATATAACAAAATTTACCATATTTGTAAATTCTCAACCTTAAGCAAAAATAATTCAAGGGAAGCTCTAGGAGGTAAGTTTCATTTCATTTAAATTCTATGGAAGAAGAAGTAAAATGTTGATATAATAATTTTTAGTACCTTCTCAACCACTGCCACTGTCTGTGACCAAATCATATACATTATTTTCCCTTTCCAATTTTTTTGAGACCGAGTCTTGC